GCAATAGCATTGCATCTGCAGAAGTATACCACTAAAACAGATAATGAAAACCCAAAAATCCATGTCTTGAGAGTGTTTGTAGCATGGAGTCTTCAAAGACCTGTTGAGTCAAGCCAAAGGGGGAGAATCGAGAAGATGGTGCATCAAAGGAAACTGGCTCAACCTCGCACGAAGATGGTGGTGCACCTTCCATCAGTGCTGTCCGGTGATTCTTGATGGTGGTGCACCTTCCATCGGTGCTGTGTGCTCATCCATTAGTTCCTCTTTTCCGCTGCTCCTCGTCGTCATCTCACCTGCACGGCCTCCTCTGCAGCCTCTCTTGCAAACATGACGGCTCATGCATCATTGTCTGCTGTGTTCTTCCTAGCTTCTAGCTTTCTATTTTCCTTTGCGTCCACCAAGTCCGTTACTCTTCTGTGTTTCTCATGCCATGTGGGTCCACCAAACCATTCTATGGCAGCTTTCTTCTCTGGTCCTAGCCCTTTCTATACAACTTTTGTGGCCTTTCTTGTCCTTGTTGTCTTCTATAGGGATTTCATGGCCTCCTTCTGCATCGTCGTCGATCTATGTCCATTTTCTTTCTGCCGAGCTTCTTCCGCCTCCGGTTTGCTACGATTTCTTGCAGAAATGATTCATCCTCTTGATGCGCCATCTTCTTTTGACAACCCATCTTCTCTTGATACTTAAATTGTATCTTCGCCTATGTTGCTACACGCGATGAAGACGGTCGCCAGAGAGAGAGGGAGGGAATCCTAGAAGGGGGGCAGCGGATCGAGCTCCCCGGCGAGAACACAGCCATGCGAGGCGGAAATGCGGGCGGCAATGATGGCCTGGGCAGGAGATGCACTAGAGGATGACGGTGCTCAAGAAGATCAACCTGGATGTGCCAAGTGCAGCGGGGTGACGGGGACTCTGGCGGCATGGGAGGCACCTGGTGGCAGTCGTCGGTCAATCTTGGAGACAACAGCCGAGGCGCCATGGCATGGAAGACAGTGGCGGTGGCATCCTGGTTGAAGACGAATGCGGCGTCCTTGGAGCAAGGCGAGTTGGTTTGCACAAAGGTGAGTACGAGTGAGTGGAGGCGTGCAGATGACGGGCCGGCGGTGGAGCACCGTGAGCAGCAAGATGGTGGCCGGCCTGTGGGTCGATGGGGAACAACATCGCCCCTGGCGGTCGATGTAGGAGACGGAGAGTGGCGGACATCGTGGGAGCGAGCGCTTCGATCGGGAAGATTGGCTTGATGTAGGGTGCTGGCGAGTTACTGGGACCGGTGATGCTCGATTGTTGAGGCAGCGAACAGGAACGATGAAGATGAATGGCCAGGGCCGATCCAATCAGCGAATAAGACAAGCATGATCCTGATCATGAGCTTTCGGTAGTAGCTTTGATCTAGATGGGATTGGGACAAGAGCTTCGAGCGGAAGATAATCTAGACAAGACGAGACCGGAAAAAAAGAAAGGAAAACGAGCGGGAGGACGAGTTGCGGTGTCCAAAAAATCTCTAAACCTGGGCTTATGATACCATTCTAAATGAGTAACTTAGATTTATTGCATTGCCCAAGGGGCGAATATTACAAGGGACTTGGCTTACATCTAAACTAATGCGAATACGCAAGGCCCTAGACCTATAATACTAATAATAATACTCCTTAACAGAGGTCAGGGATAGGTTTGGATAGATGTATATATAGGGCAATGGCCCACGTAGATGTCAGCTCAAACGTATGTTATTTGCAAATTTAAGCTGAAAGTTTCAAACATTTATTATACTTATATGTAGCATCTTTTCCTGTTAATGTATTGCTCGATTTTTCTATGGAGGCACAATTGATTCTATTTAACACTGGTAGCTATCTTTATCACCGTCTTTTCTGCCTATGTGGCACCGTAGCATTTTAGCAGTTATTCGTGGAATTACTAGTGATTTATGGCTAATCCTTTAATTTATTGACAAACAGGTTGCTCGAGCAGAGGCTGAACATGCCATGCAACTCAGACAACGTCTTGGTGGTGCTCCTGTTACGAATGGTCCAGGATCTAGTTCTGGTCCACCCATGATTACATTCCCATCAGAGCAAACAACTGCTGCGATGCAGAATTCAGAAGCAAGTCCTATATCTCCTCAGTTTCAGCCGGTGCATCCAGCAACCTCACCTCCCACCATGACCAGTGCTATGGGTGATGAGCCCAAGATAACAGCAGCAGCTATGGCAGATAAGCTTGCATCTTTGTCATCTGGCCAGCAAGTGCTGTCCTCCATTTTCTCATCCCTTGCTGCTGAACAAGCTGCTTCCATAAATGGTGGTTCATCTTCTGGAGAACTCTCTGCAGGGCCTCCCGGCTTTGACAGACCAAAGAGGCCTAGACTTGAGCAGCAGGCTGGTGATACGGGGGCTCCCCCTTTCTTTGCCCAAGTACCACAAGTGCAACAACAGATTGGAGCAGTACCTACTTCTCTTGGAAGCACACAGTCACCAGCGCAGGCTAACCAAGTACCAGGTTCATTTGCGCCACCTCCATTACAACCTATGGTACCGCAACTTATGCAGCAGTTTAGTCAAAATACTGGAGGTCCTGGAGGAATGTTCGGAATGATACCCTTTGGGATGATGGCTGGCTCTTTGCCACCTCCACTTCCATTGTTGCCGGCAGGTTTTGCAATGCCAAATGGACCACCTCCTCCACCTCCTCTGCCACCCATTCAGCAGCAGCAGCAGCAGTCTCCACAGGCACCACAGCAATCTCCAACATCAACTGGATTCTTCCAAACTTCAAGCACTGGGTTTTTCCCTCCAGTTCAGGTGCAGCAATCTCCATCCGTCCAACGGCAATGATGCTATATTACAAATGTCGGGGTATAAAGGCAGCACCTTGTGCTATCTTTGTACATTAACAATAATCCCCGAGTATTATCCGGTTAGGTTACAGGTCCTGTAGGAGAAACAGGATCACTGCCTATGAAAATAGGCGTACGGCTTGTGTGATGTATAACTGTTCCTTTTGGTCTGAGAAGTTTGCTCGATACTTCCTGACCATATGAAGTAGTTAGACTTTTCTTTGCATAGCACGTTAATTAGCTCAGAGACAAACAAATGGGTGATACTGTTGCTTAAATTGTTGTTGCCCAATGATATTAACATTTTAGGGCTCCTCGGTCGTAGAACTTACCGATAGATGGGATCTGAACTGTAACTATTTTTCATATACTCATATTGTTGTTCACGTTTATTTGTTATTACTCCCTCCGTCCCAAAATTCTTGTCTTAGATTTGTCTAAATACGGATGTATCGAGTCACATTTTAGTATTAGGTACATCCGTATCTAGACAAATTTAAGACAAGAATTTTGGGACGGAGGGAGTATAATTTTGTAATGTTCGTCCTGCTGTTTTTTTTCCTTCTTCATTTGATTACTTGTGGACTCATTGGTGTTGCTGCTAGTTTATACAGTAGCATGAAGGATGTTTGATTTAACCGTGGTGAAGGTTACACGCAACTCATTGTGTAAATTTAGTGGGGCTCGCCGGAAATCTAACGGGATACAAGAAACTCGGATTTGAGGTAGTACAGGTCAGATGAATTGAATCGAATTTTCTTGTGATGGTTGTGGCAAAACTTTCAAAAAATATTCATTGACATGGACAGATGATCTATCCGGGGTCACATCAGTACTGGAGCAAACTGTCTCCTCTCAAAAATTGATACACACTAATTATTTCCTGGCACTAGATTACACATGCCCTAAGATAGGTTAGTCTTGAATAATCTCTACAAGTGAGAGAGAGAGTGATATCTGCAAAAGATATTACATATGCTACAGCTAGAGCTGATCAAAGAGAGAAGGAAGGAGATTCAGTTCCCAACTAATTGTGATTTTTGTTGGAGCCGCTCTTGGGAAATTTCCTCATGCTGGCGTCGAACCCCACCTCCACGGGCTTGCCGTTCGCCGCCGCCGGAAGAGGATCGCCCTTGATGTGGAACTCGTTGGTCTCCATGCCCACGGCCGTGGTGGGCCTGGGTTGTGCGGCCAGCAACAACCTCCTTGCCGCAGGACCGCGGCGACCCTGCTGCCACAGCCACGGCGATGCTGTCGCGTCCAGAGACATGGCGGCTGTTGTCGTCGACGGCGTGAGCAAGAGGAGATGGAGCAGGAGTATGGAGGCGAGGAGGCAGGAGACGACGACGGCGACGCTCCGGCGGTTGCCTGCAGCCTGCAGCTTAGTCTTCATGGCACTTGATCGAACCGTAAGGTTGGAGACTTGGAGTGTGGTGGGAGTTGAAGAGTTGGAGCTGTAGTGTTGTCTTCTACGGCGCGCGTATATAATGCTCAAGTGCACGCAGCTTCCACTGGTGGATCGGGCGGAGTACGTGGGAACATGGAGTGAACATGTGACGCCATGTCTTAAGTTATACTAGTCGGGAATGGAGCAAAAGAGAGTCACGGAGCATATGGGGCGAGCTGTGGGAACATGTCACCCCGAGATCTGGATCCATTTCCTCCATTCCAGCCAGCTGATTCATCCACATTACGAATTCTGTAGAAACTAATACTAGCGCTACATAGGATATATGTGCAGCGCCCCGGTTTTCCAGTACGTTGCCACTTTACATGCATCGAGTTTACACTGGCGAATATCACGGGAGGGCGTTGTTCGTTCGTTCGGACTTGGCGCCAAGGCCGACCATGTGATGCTTATCTTTGACTAATAATCCACCGCCGTCCGGCCGAAATACCTACGATCTTCCTCTTCTTCGGAGCTGATCTTTTTGACTGGTTTCATGTGATCAGATGGAACATTCATCATCCATTTTCTATGGCACGCAGAGCATAATATCAAACCAGTGTGACAATGCATCCTACAGATTCAGATCGGCTGGGGTAGCTAGCAAAGTGCTTAATTATATAAGTATAGGCGTGGTAGATCGTGGAGGGGTACGGCCAACCGGGTAGTTACAAACGTATCATACACGGATGCACTGTTCCTTGCATCTGTAACCGCAGCAGCTGTATGGTCTGGACTCATCATACTAGCATTATATCAAGAAACATTTTTTCTTTTTTCAAAATATCTCAAGAAACAATGAAAAAAAAACATAGTGTATCGATCAAGTTTGGAAAGTTGATTCATCTCAACACATGCTGCTACACTTAATCTACTTCTATATATTGTTAACTGAACTACCAGTTAATTGAAAATGTGATGATCCTAATGAGCGCCCAATGGAGTACCTATAAAATGGCAGTGATCTGATCTCCACATGGAACAAGGTTGGCCATGGACCATCTGCCTCCTCAGTCCGCAGATTTGACCAGCTAATTCAGCTGAGTTAATCACCCAGCATTTTCCTTGCATCGCTTCTCTCCAATCATTGCCACCTTGTTGGCCTCTTCTCTTGGAGTTGGAGACTTATTTGGATGATCCATGTTTCACATGCAACTGGTCAAGGACTCAAGGGGCTAGTCCCTCTACGGATTTGACTAGCCATTGGCTAAGTTTATAAACTGCCCTGGTGTTTCTTGTTCATGGCCCAGTCATGCATCCAGACATTGTCTTGGCCTTTTTCTCTTGGACCACTGTGAAACATGGCATACTGAACATGGGGCATTGGGTTTAACATAATATGATACGTACTTACTTAGCATTGTTAGGAGGGGCCGGAGAGCTAGGCACTTATTGTCTGCATTTCTTAAGTCTTTCTAGATGGCCACAGATTAGAAGGGGGCTTCTCAAGTGAAGACAAGTATATGTCCTCTCTTTTGAATTTCATTTCCTCTGGGAAAATTATGAATTCGCATTGAACTCCTCTATGACATCGCTGCTTTACTGACCTACTCCATTGTACTAAAAAAACAACGGAGGTGTGTGGATGTAGAATTCATGAAAGTACTGTACAAGTACTAACGAATAGGAATTAGACCATAAAAGGGGATGTAGCTCAAATGGTAGAGCGCTCGCTTTGCATGCGAGAGGCACGGGGTTCGATCCCCCGCATCTCCAACATTTTTCTCTTTTTCTCAAAAAAAAACATCACCATTTTACAGTTCTCTTCTATCTTTTACTTGTTGTATAAGGGGGGACAAGGAGATGGCCTGAGGTTCGATATAATGCTCGAGTTCATTGTTTTGCAAGGTAACGCGGCACACATTTAGCTTTTTTATGTATCAAGGCAGAACCAGTTAAAAGCTAGATTTAGCGTTTTGTTGTACTGTTGGTTATAATGGTTTCATTAATTTAAAGTCGTACGCCAGCCTCTTTTCTAAAAAAGATTGCCAAGGGAAGTGACCTTTTATACTACTTGGTGGGCAGGGGCATTGGCTCCTGTTTTTTGAAATGATTCAAAAATCGTATTTACAAGTTTCAAAGAAATTAAAAAAAAAGAACTGCACAAACTTATACATATTCACAATAGATCTGTGAATTTTCGTTCAAAAATATAATTTGCAAGCTGCACAAAATAAAAAAAATCCCAGCCCAACAATAAACAAAGACTGGCTCATTTTCATGTACATTTTTGATTTTTTGCCTACATCACGCGTGAAAGTATATTGTTATGAAAATTTTCTTGAACGTGTTATATGTGTATTTGTACAAAAAAATTCTAAAAAAATGGGCGTTGTTGAATTCTTTTTTTAAGTCCACATAGTGCCCGTCCACCGTTGGGCATTTCGTTATACTACCTCCATTCCTAAATTTAAACTGGGGCAGTTTAAATTTAGGAATGGAGGTAGTAGAAGCACGCGATCCTACTAGACATGGAAGGAATAAACTTAAAAATATGATGATTATTTTTATTTTCTTCTAATCTTCTATTTCATACAAATATTACATGTTCCCGGAATAAAACACTCCTGCAGATAACTTTTGTAACAAACACTTGCATGTGTATCTTTTGCTGCACAAACACTTACAAAGCGCTTGATGCCAAAACCTATATGAGCAAGTATCTTTTCAAGGTATCACATATGAACCGAATATGTGATGGCCAGTAATCTTTACATGGCGGCCCATCTTGAACAACAATAAAAGAATGAGCAGCATATTTGGCAACCTTCCCCCTTTCAGGTAAAGACCAGATAATGCTATCTCCTTAACATTCTGAACGAGGGCAGATTCTGAACGCTTGAAACACCTCCAATTGTAAGCTCTTGCTCTAACTGGCCTAGTGTGGACTTCAGAACCTCCTGATAGTAAGATGAAAGAAAGGTCACCAATTGAACAATGGTGAAGGAACAAGAAACCATTAGCATGCACACAACGCATCGTGTATAAAGAACGCTCACGTTGAATTCCATATAACTAGCTCTCCTTGCAAGCCACTGAGCATCGAGCATCTGAAAAGCTAGGCAGAAAAGGTTATCGAAAGCCATCTCGTCATCTTCAAGTAGTTGAGCAAAGCCAACTCTTGCTTTTGAGCTCCTCCTATTTTCTGCAAAGAAGCAAAAAAAAATCTTCACAGGTTGATCTGCTTAAGGAACCAAACTACACATGCAATCAAGGGAGAGTACTAGTCACAGAAAAGCGAAGAGCACAACGTGCAACCGACCCCCGACCCCCGCGTCCCTCTCTGAGGCGACACGGGGGGAACCCCATCTGCCCCGCCGCCGGCGCCCCCTTCCCCGCCTCCCTCCCTCGCCGCCGTCGTGGTCCGCTGCGGGGCAAAGCCCTGGCAGTGCCGGCGGTGGCGGGGCATCTCCCCGGAGCAGCTCCCCTCCCTTCCCCAACGACGGCTCGGATCTGCCCGCTGGTGCCTTGGCAGCATGGTGCGGTGGAAGCACGGTGGCATCCCTGCTCGGCGCCGGAGGTGGTGGGGCGCCTGCTGCCGGTGGTGCTGC